TGAGAAATCTAGAAAGCTGCTAATAGCCAACGAACGTCAATTTCACCAACATAGAATCTTCTCAATGCTAACAAAAGATCYGTTTGGTTACCAAAATACGTAATCTCCTTGTATTCAACTTAAACTGACTCGCCATCAGTTTGGACGAAATAATAACTTAAGTTTTAAAGTGTATGTGGCAGAGCATCACACGATACAAGGTTCTACTTGCAGGTTGTCAGTTAATCCCAACGGATCGCGTGTTGACGTGTAACCAGGCTCATAACCCCACATCAATAATAATTATATGATAATATACTTATTTTGTTTAGTGTGATCCTAAGTAACTTTTCTTATGGTTTAATCTTGAAAAAAAAATCTTATTCATAGAGATGTGACATAACCTAGATTTTTTCTTCCATGGGTATTATTCACATTCCTAATGTCAGCAACCATATATTTTATTTTCGGCAATAGGTAAATGGTTAAAACTTAAAACATAAATTTAAAAATTTACAACTTTTTAAAATCAAACTTGTTCCATACCTTGATTTAAAATATATATATATATATATATCTATATATTTCTCTTTACACTTGTGAGGAGTGAGAATATACAGAGTAAATATATATATTACATGAAATTATTAGTGGATGATTTTAGAAAATTATATATACTATACCATTATGAGTTACAATAAATTGAATGCAAAAKAAATACAAACCTAAGATTTGTTAAGCAAAATGATTAATGGGTCCGGGAAAAGAAATTTGAAGAAATCATAGATTAAATTAAACGACTATTAATTCATAATCCATGAACAAAGGTGAAATGAAAAGCATGTACCAATCAAACCCAACTTCCCAAGTACACTGACCCTAATCTCATGGAAAGGCATCTTCCGTCCTTTGGGTGGGTGGGAGGGTCCACCACCAAAAATTTGTAATAACTTTACTCTAATTAAGCATCTACTTATTTATATATATCAATTTTATTTTAATTCAACGGCAATTAAAATTTGATTCTAAAAACAAAAAAATTATAAATTCGAATTTTCCACACCTGATTCTGACCAAAAAATTATCAGATAGAGTTCCTCCTGTCTCCATTTGTACTAAAAAATTAATAATAACTTTCAATAATTTAAAGAAGAGARCTCTATTCATTTTTCTGATCCATCGATTTTAGTTAAAGAAAATGAAAATGAAAAATTAACTTATATTGGGATTTGGGGTCCACGTGGGACTTGATGATGGGACATACTCCCAACTTTGATCCTCCTGGCRTAGCAATAGGCTTAGTTGCTCAAAATCCTTCACTAATCATTACTTGTCCACTATAAACACATGTTTCATATAAAGTAATTAAATTCATACTTTAAATTTCTTTTGGGTACTCAAAATTATTATTATTATTAGATTTYCAAATAGCAATATATACCTTTTACGCTAATATGTAGTAAAAAAGTAATAATCTAGTCTAATTTAGTCCCTCTTCGTTGATAAATATTAAAATCAGCTTATTATAAATTTATATAACATAATACGCAGTGAATTGTYAATTCGAACACAATTCACGGGTTAAGATATCTATTTTCGATCAAAAGATCGTGAGTTTAAATTTCTAGTAAAAAATTTAATACATTAATAGAAATTTAGATAAAGAAAAATATCATAAATAAAGGAAGAAAATTTCGAATTTTATTCSTTTGATAACATTTTTTAAGTAATGAGAGACTAAATTAAAAATGATTAGATTATAAAAAGACTAAATTGACCTCTTAAAAGAAAATCTCATGCTAGATATTGAGATGTATATTTGTCTACTTTTTAATATTTTATTATATTTATATTAAAATTTAACGTAAGAATCAATCAAATTGGTAAACTACGCTTTCACTTTGTATCTATCTACTAAAAAAAAAAAAACTATAAAGGAGAGAAAAAAGAAATAAAACTTTAGCTTTTGGGGAAAATCCAAAGCAAAATCAACCCTTTAAGTTTAACACGTGTCCGTGTCTAAATCTGTAACCCCATCTCATTCTTTCCCCAATTTTCCACATAAATTTACAAAACTCACCATGAAATAAAAGGAACAAAAATAAATCTTTTAAACTTTTTTTTATAGTGATGGCACTTTATGCTATAGGGTGATCATGTGAGATTATTCCCTTTCGCACTCCTTTTATTCCACCTCCCATATGAACTGTTACACCCTAGTTGGTAAGTCAAATTACATCATCTACCATGTGTTTACGAATGTTGGTATCACATCTTAAATATCTTTCCCAACTCACGCTATCTCTATTTTTACTATGATCGATGGTAAGTCAAAAAACAGAATTTAAATTACCCAAACTTATTTTTTTTTAATTAAATACTTATTTATAAGTTTGGCGATTTTTTTCAGACTGAGATAGAATGAATAAGAAAAAAATGATAATATCTAATTAAAAATTGCATGCCTATTGGAAAAGCTATCTCGTTTTTAATTTAATGGTTTTAAAAATGTTTATATTGATAGTATCTAATTAAAAATTGCATGCGTATGGAGGGTAGTTGGAGTGATTTTGAAAAAATCCAGACTTAAATATGTTTGATTTTTCAAAATCACTATCTGAATCATTTAAAGTAATTTTAAACTTTCTTAAAATCAATTTTTTAATTAGAAAATATGAATATGATTAATGAAAAGGAAATTGTTTTTGACAATGATAAAATTAAAACACACGATAAATATTTATATAGATTGCGGTGTGTTGAAAAAAAAAAAAGGTAGGTTGGAGTGAACAAAAATTAATGTGGCCGTATAAAGAATTTTTCATTCTCTTAAAATCTAGAAAAATAGGGGAAATTCATCGATTAGGATCATTCATAGAATATTGGTGGAGTGGGAATGGGCCCGGCGCGAATGATGGGCCCGGCCGTACATAATGGAGCCGGCGGTAATTGGGGTTAGGCTTCATTGCGCGCGTGTATAGCTTTAGAAGCGTGGGAGTTTATGGCGGGGCCAATTGCGGCTCAGCTCGGCTCGGCTTGAGCCAAAACAAATATTTGGTCGCTGCGGCTATGATTTCAGACATGGGCCTCCTTCAGCAACTGCCGGCTCATTCGGCGGTCTAATTGATGGAAATCCGATCGTATCTCTTTTTCTCTTTGGCCATCGCTTCCACCTTCTTTTCAAGCGCGTCGTATTCAGTTCCCGATAAGGTTTCACAAATAGCCGACGTGACCTTATGGAAAGTGGGGTTCACGCGACTGTTTGAGAGTGGGACTGGAATCTTATGGTTGAGTGGAGAAGCGGGGTCGGGAGGAGTTCCCGGAAAATAATATTTTAAAGCACCCTGTTAATTAAACTAAAATGAGTGTCATATAATTATACTAATACGTTATACAATACAGAAATTAATTACAAAAAAACTGTACGAATATTTATTGCCTTTTCAAGGAAATTAAATTAGCTTTTTAACATTTTAAATTAAATATTAATAAGAATATATGAATAACCCAATTCAAGTTTACGTGGTTGGATTCAATTGTGCATATCACCTAATTATGGGTCAATTTAGTTAAACAAGTTTGCAATCCTTTTTTATTTTTATTTTGAGTTTAACAAATGCGAGAATTTGAACCATCAATATTATGAATCGGTAATAGATGACTTATCTTTTTTTTTTCTTCAAGAATCATAGATAACTTATCTATTGAACTATGTTCGCATTAACAAATAAACATATATATATATATTAAATAAAGTAAGTGGTGTTTTATCTAACTGGAATAGGTTTTGAGAGCATAAATTTAATATATATTTTAGAAGATGTTATAAATTTTGATTTTATAAGAGATATTGTAGGAGATGAATGCTTTTATGTCAAATTGAAGCTAACTTAACTCGATAAAACATATATTATAGACATGTTCCAATTTGTTGAACTAAAAAAATATAATTTGTATTTATTTATTATGTTTTATATTATATTTAAAACTAAGTTTGAAGTTGGATTATGAATTTAACTTTTTTACAAATGCATATTTATTTTATGCTATATTTATGTAGATGACTACATATTTTCTATCTTTGACTTCATTTTTTTCAAAAATAAATAGTCAAACACACAAACGCTTAATTAATTTATATACTAATTCCTTTAATTTTACTGAAACTAAATGGCTAAATTAATACCATTGATGCACACGCTATACAATTTCAAAATGAACGAAACATATATCACATAGAATAAAAAAACAAAAAACAACCAAAAAAGAAAACAAAAACAAGAAAAAAAAAACTTAGCTSCAAAAATGTCAAATTCATAGCCACAGCACCAACAAAATATTTAACCTAGTCTACAAAATTAGTATTGTCTAATCCTAGGCATCTACAGCCAACCACAAATATCTTAATGATTCAATAACTCATTAATTTCATTACAAATTTAAGATTAAAGTTTCGAAATTTTAACATATTTTTCCCTAAATAACTGTAGGCTTTTTTGGTAGGTCAGTATGATGATATACCTAACATAACATTTTAAGTTTCAGAGTTGTATGTGATGATATTGAAATTTTAACGTATTTTTTCCTCAATAAATATACACTTTTTTGGCAAGAAAATTGAAATTTAACTTAATTTTCCCTCAATAAATATATTTGTCAAAAATGGAAAGTACCCGACTTCTCATCAACCAATCTTTTTTTTTTCTTAAATGAGTTGTCAGTTTTTCTAGAGTATAGTATGTAGTTGACATCTACTTCACTCGAGGTCGTAAGTTTGATCAATATATCTTCAAATTGTTGTAATAAAGAAAAAAAAACAGTATTTTTCTTGAGATGTTAAAAAGTATTGTATGAACCATGGTTTATACCCGAAATAATTCAATGAACTTGACACGATGGAGCTGGAAGAACAAAAGTATACGTTTTATAAGAAAGTAGTAAAAACAATGATACGAAGGGGAAGGGAAGAGCATAATTTGAAGGAAACTTTAATTTCTTGGGCTATAAAAGGAGAGGTTCTTGGTTAGGTTGAGAGGTTATCGATGAGAACAACGTCCAGGTCGCTGTTGTTTACCAAATTCACTTTCATCTAACAATCTAAAGAATCGAATCACCAAGTGGTTTACAAACCCATTTCGGTGTTTCGTCTCTCTCACTCTCACTTCCATCGCTTTCTTATATTTCCACTTCTTCAATCTTCTCTGTTTTCCCTTTGATTTATATTCACTATTTGTATATTTCAACGAACCCACCAAACAAAAAAAAAAAGAGAAGAGAAGAGAAAAAAAGACTGAACTCAGCCAACTGATCGATCTTCTTTCTTTCTTTCTTTTGTTCTGCTCTTCTTTTGAGGCCTCTCGCCGTCTTTGAATTCGGCGGTGCCTTTATTTTTCCATTTCTGGGGAATTTGGTGGCGCATTAAAGTTGGGGCTTTGAATTGAATCCAGCTTTTTTCTTTTTTTCCTTCTTTTTTCTCAAACGCATTTAAGGCCTCTTTTGGAAGCCAGCAGCGGCTCTGTTTTCTGAACTCCCTCTTCATTCAGACCCTTTCTTCGTGTTTTGTTTTTATTCAATTTGAAAACTACACTCGGGGATTTGGGTTTTGTTTTTGTTTGTAAGGCCGATCTGGGTTCTCTTCAATCTTTCTTTACACGAAAGAGACATTTCGAGCAAAGGTAATTAGTTTCATTCCCTGAAAACTCTGTCCCTTTTGTTCCTGTCTAATTTTTATAAGGGAATTCCAGCATTTCCCCCAATTTGGGGGTTTTTTTTCTTGACTTTCGTTATCTGGGGTTTGGAGTTTTTATTCCACTTCTTCGTTTTTTGTCTCATACAGTGTCCTATTATCCAGGATTTCAACACAATGTTGCCTCAGAAGCAAGCAGAGGAAGCCATAGTTCCCAACTTGAACGAAACAGAGCATGATGGCAAACAAGAAGACAAAGAATCTCAGCCCATTTTCAGCGTCAAAAACCTCCTCTGGCATGGCGGCTCCGCTTGGGACGCCTGGTTCAGCTGCGCTTCTAATCAAGTAAAAAAAAATAAAAAAAAAGTTCCCATGTTCATTTTCTCAGCTCAGAAACACCAAATTCCCAGATTTTTACACCTTTTTTTGTTCTACTTTTTGTACAGGTAGCGCAGGTTCTGTTGACGCTGCCATATTCATTTTCCCAGCTGGGAATGCTGTCTGGGATCTTGTTTCAAATCTTCTACGGAATAATTGGGAGCTGGACTGCATATTTAATCAGTGTTCTTTACATTGAATACAGAAGTAGGAAGGAGAAGGAGAACGTGAGCTTCAAAAACCATGTGATTCAGTGGTTCGAAGTGCTGGATGGGTTATTGGGTCCTTATTGGAAAGCCGCTGGACTCGCATTTAACTGTACTTTCCTCTTGTTTGGATCAGTCATTCAGCTCATTGCTTGTGCTAGGTAACAAAAAATTTGCCATTTTTACCAATAGATTTGATCTGGGATTGCTTTATTTTGAGTGTTTGATTTCGTTTTTTTGGTGGTTTATAGCAATATATATTACATCAATGACCATTTGGACAAGAGGACTTGGACTTATATTTTTGGAGCTTGCTGCGCCACAACGGTTTTCATACCTTCTTTCCACAACTACCGGATTTGGTCATTTTTGGGGCTTGGAATGACCACTTACACCGCGTGGTACATGGCCATCGCCGCCATCGTTCACGGCCAGGTTTTTCCTCCGGCCACCCTCCGCCGCCGTTGCTTTCTTTTTATTTTCTCGTAACTAATTTCTTTTTCTTGAATAATTAGGTTGAGGGCGTGCAGCACTCTGGCCCGAAGAAGCTGGTTCTGTACTTCACCGGCGCCACCAACATTCTTTACACCTTCGGCGGCCACGCCGTGACTGTGTAAGTTTTTGGGTTTTTTTTTTTTAAATAAAAAAAGAAAATTTATCGTCATGGATTGGGTTGTGTTGAAAACTTTTTTGCTGGTTATCTCGGCGTTGGGGAGTCCCACAAAAAGAAAAAATCACATGAAAATCTGCTTTCGTTTTCTCCGAAAAACGAAATTTTTTTCCCAAGAGAGCAAAAGGGGGAAGATTGTACAGTGTCTCTTAAAGGCCCTACCTTAAAATGTAACTGTTTGCGATTTATTTTTAAAGAAATTCCTCTTTTCCAGTGAGTCCGACATTCACCATCGTCGCGTTTGTCTTCACCTGCAGGCGTGACTTCCTTGTCACCAACACAACAATACATTAAAACAGAAAAAAGGGAAAAATAGAAAAAAAGCTCGTAACTTTTTCATTATTTTCCCGTTTAATCGTCGGTTTCGAATTTTTTCATGATTTTTTTTTTGTGGGGTTGAAATTTTAATTTCAGTGAAATTATGCACGCCATGTGGAAGCCGCAGAAATTCAAGTACATCTACTTGATGGCCACGTTGTATGTTTTCACCTTGACGATTCCGTCTGCCACCGCCGTCTACTGGGCCTTCGGCGACGAGCTTCTGAACCACTCCAACGCCTTCTCCCTCCTCCCCAAATCCGGCTTCCGTGACGCCGCCGTGATCCTCATGCTCATCCATCAGGTCCGGGAAAACTCCGTTCCGGTTTGCTTTTTTTCTATTTATTGCACGGAAGGTGTTTGTAAAAAGTCCCCTTAGAGAAAAATCGAAGTGGTACAAATTCCCCTGAAATCTGACACTGCCCACTGTGGGGAAATTGCAGTTTATTACGTTCGGTTTCGCGTGTACGCCGCTGTACTTCGTGTGGGAGAAAGTAATTGGAATGCACGATACGAAGAGCATTTGTTTGAGAGCAGTGGCGAGGTTGCCAGTGGTGATTCCAATTTGGTTTTTGGCCATTATTTTCCCCTTCTTTGGGCCAATAAACTCGGCCGTTGGCGCTCTTCTGGTCAGCTTCACGGTCTATATTATCCCCGCATTGGCTCATATGCTCACCTACAGAAAGGCCTCCGCTCGACAGGTAAAAATTCTAATCTTTATCTTTAATGCATTCACCTACCCTATCAAAATCCCTCTGTTTCTCTCTGCCCCACATTTGCCTGCCCTCTGTACCTCTCTTTTACTGGCTTTTGCCCCCACAATCTTTTTGCCTTCATTATTTGTTTGCTTATGGGATCTATTATTCTAGCTTCTTAACTTTTCACGAGTTTTTTCAACCCAAAAAATAGAGTAGTTGGCCAAATTTTGTTTTGATTCAAAATTGTTTCATGGGTTTAAGAATATTTTGTGTAATCTCTGCATGGTGCGGCAGCTAAACAAGTGATTGATGATATCATAATTTTGAACATAGTTTATATTTTATTTAGGGTTTTATTTTGTTTTTTTGTGAAGTAACTTTAAGTATGTAGTTGGGTTTTTGAGGAGGGGGGGGGGGTGGAATATCAAGTTATGAACAAAAGCATTTATGGGTTTGATATGGAAATGTTATCAGACAATTAAAATAGGTGACGAGTCCTTTTCGTTTAGTTATTCATAAGACTTGTATTCTTGTACCTCCTCCCATGAGCTGGCCTCCTCTCACTGCCTGTAGGCCACTTTGTAGCAGCGAATTTCAAGTCTCTGTCACACTCTAAAGTCTAATCATAAATAAAATACCATATAATAAACCAAGATTAACTAATTAAACTTGGAAATTCTTGTTCTTCCTCTTTAAAGTGTTTGTTTTTGGTTTTTTATTCCCTTCTTCCTCTGTAGAATGCGGCGGAGAAGCCCCCGTTCTTCCTTCCGAGCTGGGTCGGAATGTATGTGTTGAACACATTTGTTGTGGTGTGGGTTCTTGTGGTCGGGTTCGGGTTCGGGGGTTGGGCCAGTATGACCAACTTCGTTAGGCAAGTCGACACCTTTGGGCTCTTTGCGAAATGCTATCAATGCAAGGCTCCGCCACCCTCCACGGTGGCTGCTGCACCTCATCATTGAACCGGCCACCGTGCTTCGGCTTCGTCCTCGTCTTCCCCTCCATATTTTGTATCATACCAATGGGTGAAAATCACTAGCTTCTTGCCCATGTTCTTCTCGTGAGTGTGTTAGATTTTTCAGTTTTTTCCCCTTAGTGTGCTGAATCGTAGTGATTCTCATGAAAGTCAAATCGTTGGCTCAATTTAGCTAAGTATATTATTTAATATACTATACTTGTAGCTTACTTTATATTTTCTTTAAAAAATATCTTCTTATTACCATTGCCATAAATTTAGGGATCTAGTTCTTAAATCTCGTGGCTTTTTAATCTTGGGGTTTTTCCCCAACTGATGTATAATACGTTTGCCTAAGAATTATACTCCAAGTTAAAAATCACTATATTTGTGGGTAACTTTTTTAAAAGTATAATGAAATTTAGAAGTAAAAAAACAATGCAATCAGTTTGCATGCATAAATAGAACCTTCATCATTCAACAAAAATATTGTTTTATATGTTGGAGAATATTGACAGTGGATGTCTTCAAGAAAAGAGACTGGTCAGAGTTCAACTATTTATTCAGGATATGTTTTAAGAAATAAAGTTGATTTATTTTATAAAAAAAAATGAATGGAATTTTATCTTAGTCATACTTCTAAATTTGTCTGGTTTTCAATTTTTAGCTATTTTTCTTAAAAATATTATCTTAAACTCTTTTTTTTTTTTAATTTGGAATCTTGAAAATGCAAAAGAAAAAGCAAATAACAAAGTACACAATCACTTAAAAATAGTGTTTATAATCTAAAATTTAAAATATAAAAGAATTATCATCGGGCCAATGATTATGAAATTAAACATGTATCGTTAGAAATCATTATTCAAATGTCTATAGTTAAGACTAAATTTTATAAAGTCAGTTGAATGACACACGATATATTGCCAATCAACTCAGCTATAAAAGATAAGTTAGATTTGTTGTCTACAGCAAAAAGTCTAATGTGCTCCTAAAATTCAAGTTGAACCGGAGAATCTCACAAGCTTCACATAAAAGATCGGAGGATTTCGACCTCATATCTGACAATCCATAACTGTCCGAACTTCCTAACTCAAGTTTGCAATTCTGTTTTGAAGTCGAATTATTGAATTCAAATCATCATTTACTTAAGTTTTAGAGTGTTTGTTCAATCTATACCCATCTCTCTCGTAACTCATCTAGGTTTATTGAAAGTCGAATTTGGGAACTCTGACAAATTTCCGTTGAAAAATATAATGACAATATAAGTATAACTAATGAGGCACTGATTATCTTTATTGAAGTGCGGTGGTTAAATCCCCTTAATTTCTATTTGTTCAAATGTGCCCAAAAAAGAGATTTAAAAAAAAAAAAAAAGAGACACGTTGGTTGGACTTGGATGTGTGTTGAAGTGTGAAAGTGGAACGTGGCACGGTCTAAACGGTGTTAGCGGACATTGTAAGGTGGGATTCCATGCCAAGTTTTCACGTGGTTCACACGTGGCCTTGCACATGCAAACCCACATGGTCAATTAATCCGCCGGATCCTTTTTTTTTCTTCCTTTCTTTGGGATCCAACAAAATTTGATTACTTATCATATAATTATTTGATCAAATTATATAAAATAATAATTATTATTATTCAAAGCATGGCCAGCCCACCACAAAAAGGCTATTCTTTTTCTGTAACAATAAGTGATTGGATTGGATTGTCTCCTTTTGACAATTCTTGACTCAGATCTTCAAACCTCCGTCCTTCCACCTAATTTTTTGGAATCCAATATTGTCTTTTTCCTTTTTATTTTTTATTTTTTGTAATTTAAAGTTTCATCCGTTCAGATATTGGGCTTCCGAAGCCCATTTGGAGAAGACGGGAGTGGACTCGGCCCATTATCTGACGGGCTTATACTACATGAAGGCCCTCCAAGAGTCTATCTTGGAACAACTGGGCCTGATCTTTCTGCTGCCAGTTTGGTCCTGCAATACTTCGTGGGCCGGGCTACATGTATTAAGTATCCTTACTCTGCCCGAAAATTAAATTGAAAAAATAACTTTTTTCATCCCTTCCATTGAATCATAAATTCCCTTGACAGTAAAATTGCTACTCTCTAATGACAATTAATTTTCTTCCTAAAAATAAGAAAGTACCATTGCTATTTTTTATTTGAAGCCAAGAACTTTATATTATAATAAGGAACTTCTAAAAATTCAGTTTTGGTTGTTGGATTTGATATATTAAATAATTATTAGACGATAGTATTTATTTATTTTTGGTTGATATTAGATAATAGTCATTGACTCTTAGTTATTAAATATTGCAAATCATTTTTTTTTCATACGATTTCTCCATTGATAAAAGTATTATACTTTCTTACACGATTCATTGATTTACGTAGATTAATATGCCATTGAGGATAATGAAATATTTTATTTTATTTTAAAAGGCGTCCTCAATATAAAGGACAAAGAGGAAAGTCGTCGTCCCGCCAAATTTTCACGTTTCTCCGACCTTGATCTTGCCTTTCTTCACCTACCTTCTTGACTCAGTAATGGCGTCCGCTTCCACTGTTCCACTTTAAACTCCTCGATTTCTTCGTCTTTCTCCTTGAATTTGAACCCTAGGAATTCGTTTTCTACGAATTTTATTCCTCGGTCGATTCCTTCCGGTGTTTATTTCGCAATGTCGATTCGTAGCTTTGTGCCTTCGTCTGTCTTTTTCGTTATCAGTTTTCGCTTACAGCTGCTTCAATTTGTTGTGGCGGAGGGGATGAACTATGAGGTATCAGCGAGGAAAAGCGATTTAATCAAAGGTATGGAAATTAACGCCCATATGTTCTTTATAAATATTTGGCGTCGCTTTCCTGATTAATTATAATTTTGTGTTATAATATTCTTTTCGTGGCCCTTATCGCTTGGACTTCTGTTTTTCTAATACAATTATTCGCAGGCAAGGCTTCAAGAGAAGACAATAGGGGTGCGGGCCAGAGATACTCGTTGTTATTGAATCTTCTCCAAAGAAAGATAAATACGATGACCACGAGTTTATTGAAATCGATTTTGACGAGTCATTATTCTCCAGCTAAGCTGCATTTAACGTTATTACTCTTTTAACTTTTAAATTAGTTTGATATGATATGATTTTATTCGTTCCTGTTGCATTTGCTCGCATGATCGGAACATTTTATTCAATTAATTCTATAGTTTCCAAATAATTTTTGGGCTCCTGCAACTGATTAATTGGGGAAAGGACATTGGTAACTTTATGAAGGTGAAGTGGCTTTAACAGTCCTAGAGCTTGGAGATTGGTTAATTTTGCCCGAAAGCAATAACTGCTGCCTCTCATGTAAACTTCAGATATAATAATGCAAATTTGATACTTCCTGTCTATTAGAGTATCATTGACTTTTTATCTTCTAATTTCTTAATGTTGTACGGAGTAAGAGAGAGATTGGGTTGAAGAGAATCAGAGAATAGTTCTTTCAAATCATGATAATGTAGAAAATTAGTAAACGAATACAACGGAGAAGATTCAAACTCTTAAACGCCTAGTTAAGGGAAAACAATCATTTGGGGTAATTCGCATCTGGGAGAAAAGATTAAGTCATGATCCCATTATGATTCTTGGGAGGAAAATGGTTCCACTTCATTCTTGCTGGAGGTTTTCAGTGTTAGTGTATAAACTAGATTCTCGTTTTCCGTACATCTTTACAATGATTCTTGTAGAGCTTTCATAGTTCTAAGTGTTGCTGCAAATAATGCAATGATCAGAGACTAATCTTTCTATGACGCTTCCTTTTTGCATGATATAACTCTTACTATGCTTGTTCCATAGGTGTATTCCATAAGCCTCGTTATTTAGCTGAGCAAGCACTGCTTTGGCCCAACTAGAAGTAGCCTGGTTTTCTGGCTTCTTAAAAAGTTCACCAATCTTATTCCAGTCCACTGGGTAGAACGCCACTGGTGGTAATACCGTGACATTGAAACCAGGTGTAGCTTTGGCTCCTGTTACCTTTGCTACTACTCTGGAGACCAGAAAAGGTCCATTATATCCCCATCTGCTCCCATCAAAATTTGATGCAAAATTTTCCATGAATTTCTCTAGAAGAGGATGGTTCTTATCAAAAACAAGAACAGCGTTGTTTAGTATTGTCCAGCTCTTAGATATTGGATCAATACTTTGTGCGCCAATAGAGTTCTTCAACCCCATGAAAGACTTCAAAACAATAAAATCTGTATCTATGTAAACACCTCCATACTTGTATAAAACTGCAAGTCTCATCAAGTTGGATAGATTTTGAGCTAATGGAATCAGACCTGGGTCCTTTTTTCCTCTCTTCATCTCATCAAACCAAGCCTCAACAGGGGTGTTTTTGAATAGAGAAGGCAAGTCCGGTGTGATTGCCAGAATTTTAAACGCACGATCAAGTAGAGGTTTAAGAATCTTGTACCCTCTTTCTGAATCCAGCGTTCTTGATAGAATAGTTAAGCATCCACGGGGGTGAGACTTAAAAACACTTTCTGCTGCCAGTAATTCTCTTCCTCTGAAAGACCTTGCTGGAGATATCCATGTCATGAAGAATTGCGTCTCGCACTCGTGGCTAAGAAACTCCAGAAGTCGATTATCAAACTGCTGCGTCAAGTTGTTTGACTGCAAAATTCGAAAGTCGGGAAGGTGTTTCCTAAACCAATCAATTCTTGCTTTTTTTTCTGAAAGATCGGATGGAACTACCAAGGAATCGAGAGTTTCACTATTGTCATCATCTTTGTATTCTGTAGAGGACTGCAGTGGCTCTTCTTCTAAAGTTGACTCAATTTGTACTTGTGTTACGCACGTAATTGTTGAGTTCGAAATTTTGTTCTCATCTCTCGATACTGTTCGAATCGAAACCTTGTAGATGATGCCATCTCCACATACAAGGAAGATGATGGCTGCAAACAAGACAGTTGGCAATATTGGTGATATAGCACACCTTCCAGACATGTTTCCCTGGAGGCTCTTCACATAAGAAGTGAAATTTTCATTGGGATATGCACAAATGAAGCTATTTGAATAGACTCGGAAATGGAGAAACTTTGTTGGCGACTACACCAATGGAAGACATATCTGGAAGGGAATTAATTTATTCAGGCCGCTTGCTTGGTCTGCTGAATGGGGCTGGTCCGTTTTTTTGTAAAGTCCACGGAAGGAAATAGGATTGAAAAGGTCAAATCTAAAATTTTAGTTCAATGACGGATACTTATCACAAAGGCGATGTGTTTTAGTTTTAGTGATCCGACGGTCGAGGATGACAACATTTAAGTAACATTTTTCTTACTGCAGAAGACATTCACATCATGTTATAAAGTAGTTATAATTACTGCTAAAAAGTTTCGGTAATTACAGTTCAAGAGGTGAAAAAACGTGGAGAAGGGATGATGACTATATATCAGCTTCTGTTGCTGTCCAAATTGGCCAAGTTTTATGCAACTTTGGGCCAACTGCGTATTAAATATTTAGTGCACAACTTGCAGGTTCGTTTACTTAGCTAAGTTATTTGAATTAGAAACCATCAAGGAGTTCCCTGCCTTATCTAGTCTCCAAATTGTTTTTCTGCAGGTATTGCTTATCATTGTGGTTACATGCTGACATGTCTGGTGCCCCTATATCTTGGAGGAATCAAAGTAAGGTATGTTGTTTCATCTACACAAATTCTGTTTGTTCAAGCAACGAGGTAGGAAGAAGTATTATTCTGATTAAAATAGAAAAAATATGTTGCTTCTTTCCACTATATAAAATTTTGTTGATCAAGGTTCCAGTATTAATTTCATTTACGAAATAGTAGTGCGCTATATCCTGAAAAAATAGAAAAAGTAGCGGACCGGATTTAATAGAAGAAAACAAATATCTTTATATTAAATATTAATCATGTTTGTAATTTACCACGAACACAGAGGTTCAAATCTTCTCATGTTGTGGTAAAAAACAAGAATAATTTGTGAAGTTTATATTATATTGTGAAATAGTTTAATAATAATATCATGTGGAGTTTGAATTATTTGCGATAAATTTACTTTATTCATTGAGTTTGTATTAATATATTTTTTAAAAATATTACAACTATGATAAGAGTGGAAATTCTAATTTATAACTTATGAGTAAGGAAGATCACCTATATCTGGACCCGTTTCAGGTTAAAATCTACTCCATTAATATGTTTTTAGTCTCTACATTTCAAAAGCTCAACAATTTTATTTTGTTGAGATTTTGAAAATAGTCTCTATCACATTTTTTCTTTCAATTTTTTTTTATGATATGCTTTTTGAACGGTTATGTTGCAAAAATAATTAAAACTTACCTATTAATTCACTAACATTAATGATTAAATAAATGCTCTGCTGTAAGGTAAGCCTTTTAAAAACTTATTTGTTATTTATTATTTTGAGTTAACATGTAACATGTTGGGTGTTCCAAAAAGAAAAAAAAAACATGTTAGGTGGAGATTGAAACCTTCGACTTTTTGACCAAGGATATATGAGATATATGCTACTAATTGAGCTATAACTAAGTTAGCCAAAGTTAAAATTGGTCTTTAATATTTTTGCTACCTTGATCTGTAATATTTTTACAATTAAAGTTACTTTAATAACTATAATGGTGTGGCCTAATGGTCAATAAGGACCAATGTAAATAAGAGCTTAAATTAATTAAATAATATTTATTTTATTCTTCAGTTAGTGAATTATAAATTTCATTTTAATTATTTTATTCTCATCGTTATAAAAAAGTATTATTTAATCGATTATTGGCATATAAAATTAATTAAAAAATGTTAATAAATTAATCCAT